GAAAGGAGAAACATTGCCTTTGAAATACTAAATGAGTAAGCGGGTGCTCCCTGTGGAATTCTAACTGAAACCCCCCACATCCCTTTGGGTCCCCAGGGGTCCCTAAACAGCCCTTTCAGTCCTTCTCCATACATCTGTAGCCGCAGGCAATTCCACTGTCATGGCTCAGGGCCCAACAGAGAAGGCAAGGGGAAGAGAGGGGGGCAGAGTTGGGGGAGGGAGGAGGCCCCAAGTTCATCACAGAGATCCTTCCAGGAAGCAGAGCCAACATTGCGCTGGGGTCACTGAACGAGGCAGTGGTGAGCTGGGCCGGAGCCCAGCCTGTGAGGCCCGACTTTCTGTCCCCTCTGCTAACCACAAGACCACAGCCCTCCCTCCCAAGACTACCACTGCTCCCACTCCCCACCCCCACTCAGAGCCTTAGCAGAGGTCAACAAAGGCATGAGCAGCACTGAGGGGAGGCTGAATGGGCCTGGGAGACACTCAGCTCCCTTGAGGTGGTGGGGGCAGGGGGAGGCAAAGCAGCTGATGGGAAAATGGGGGCTCAGAGGACTTAGGGGTTGACCTAAGGGAAGCCAGGCTGGAGGAGACCCCCCCTCAACATACACACTCTTTGCATGAGATTGAATGTATCTCTAGAGTCATTTTGGAAAGACCCCAACGACAAAGAACCGGAATCAGGGAAATAAAAACCCTGGAGCCAGGCCAAGCCCCTAAATGCCATTTCCCCACTCACCCCAACCCATGTAATTTGGAGGTGTGTGTTCCTGCCTCACTCCATTCCATTGAGAAGAGGAAGACCACAGCAGGACAGGCTAAGCTGAGCAGTGGGGCGGTCCCACACAGAGCTCAGCTGCCCACACAGGAGGGAGCCGCCCTATGGCCTTGGCTGGGCTGGTCAGGTTCACTCTGAGAGCTATCAGTATTTTCCAAGCATAGACAGCCTGCAGTAAAATTAAAATAGGAATCACCAGACCAGAGCCCAGTTTAGCAAGGACAGGAGGCCTGCCCACAGAGCAGCAGGGACCTGGCTCTGTGGGTCGTGGGGCAGCCAGACGGGCCGAGAACAGGAAGCTTTTTGTGCTGACCCCAAGGTCTGTCCGCCTCTGGACAGTCCTCTGAAGGGAAGCCTCTTTTAGCCCCTCCCAGGGCACCAAATGCCCCTGCCTGCCCCTTCTCCCTCCCTCTGAGTCAGTGATCCTTTCAGCCTTCTCAGTGCTAGGAATGGAAGCAAAGCCAATGGGAAATGGCTCTTTCTCAGTTAGAATAGCCAGGCAGGCCTAGCCTGGGCACAAGGAGAGTGGCCATTGTGACACCAGGAAGGAGGAGATCCTGGAGGGAGGTGAGCCGTGTCCCCACTCTCCCAGGAGATCATAAAAGTACTGCTATTCCCATTCGACCAATGGAAAAAAGTGAGTCCCTGTAAGGTCTGTATCCCAAAGAGATCAAAGATATAGGACCTATGTGCACAAAAATATTAATAGCAGCTCTTTATGTGGTGGCCAAGAATTGGAAATTAGAAGGATGCCCATCAGTTGGGGAATGGCTGAACAAGTTGTGGTATATGAATGCAATGGAATACTATTGTGCTATAAGAGATGACAAGCAGAATGCTTTCAGAAAATCCTGGAAAGACTTGCGTGAGCTGATGCAAAGTGAAGTGAGCAGCACCAGAAGGACGTTATACACACTAACAGCAATACTGTAACAGTGTTCCACTGTGGAAGATTTAGCTCTTCTCAGCAATACAACAATCCAAGAGAAATCTGAAGGACCCATGATGAAAAATGCTCTTCACCTCCAGAGAGAGAGCAGTTGGTGCACTGAGTACAGATAGAAGTCATTTTTTTCCATTTTATTTTATTTTTCGCAATATGGCTAATATAGAAATGTTTTACTTGACTTCACACGTACAATAGATATCATATTACTTGCCTTCTCAGTGAGTAGGAAGGGGCTGGAGAAAGGAAATTTGAGGATTTGAAATTCAAAATGAAAACAAAAATGTAAAAAGAAAAAAAGAAAGAAAAGTGAGTCCTGTAGAGGGGATATGTCATGCCCAAGCTCACACAGCTGGTGGGTAGGTGGGTGAGGGGGGCTAGGGCTTGGATCTGGGCCTCTTCTCTCCTGAGGCAGCACCCTGACCCCCTTCTCCACCCCACCCCATGATGGACTTCCTGATCAGCCCTAAGCTCTGAGCCATGTGATTTCAGGAAGGTCAGACCCTGGGAAGCCCTCAGAAGTCTGCAGGGTGGCTTCCTGATCTGATCAGCTCTGCCCTTCCCTTACCTCCCTGCCCCAGCTACCCCTAGAAAAGCTGGGCTTGGCCACAGGGAAGGCTAGTAGTTAAGTTCATTAACGTGAACTGTATCCACTGGGCCCAATGAATAAAACACCTGTGGGGTCAGCACCCCCGGTAAACACTGGGGCAGCGGCCTGGGAAAAGTCCCTGCTCCAGCAATGCAGAGTCTGGCCAGGTAGGCCAGATGGGCCTCGGGCTGGGAGAGGGGGCAAAGCATGGACCATCCTCCTTTGGGTGCCCCTGATGTTGCCCTATGCCTCAACCCAGGGCTCATTCTGCTAATCTGTAATTCTCTGCTCTCATCCCAACCCAGCTCTGGCCACACTTCCCTCCTGCCTTGTCCCCACCCCGCCCCCTTCCTGCCTCAGGCTCCTTCTCTTGGTCCTGACCAGTGCTACCCAGCCAGGCACCAAGCTCTGCTGGGCCCCAGGGGCAGGAATCGGAGCCATGGGGGAAGGGACAGAGAGACTGATTTAGGCTTGAGGTCAAGAAATACTTCCTAATGGTGGCCCAGGCAGCCCCTGGAGGGGGTGAGCTGCCCTTTCTTGGAGATCTCTGAGTACAGGCTGGATGATAGGTTGCTGAGATAGATGCACAAATATTATGGGCTAGACTGGGTGTCCTCTAAAGCCTCCTTGGCCCACAGGGGAGCCCTCCCTCGTTTGGAAGGTGCCATCCTGGAGCTTACCCCCTCCCCCACCAGCCCCTGCTCCAGCCAGACGCAGGCCACTTTAGGGCTTCGGTGGCTGGCTGGGGTCTTAAAGAGCTAGTGGGCTAGTGCTCCCTGCTTCGTAGAGAAGACATAGGAGGAGCTTCAGGACCTTGGAGAGGTGCTGGTCCAGGGTCCTCCTGGGGGCCAGCCCACAGCACAGGCCTGCCTCCCCACCCCCTGCCAGCCCTCATGACAAGAAGAGGGGGAAGCTGACATCTTTAGCTGGTGCTCCCCAGAAAGCCCTCCTAGATCCAGAGAGGGAAAGAACCTCGTCTTCCCTCTGAGAGAGCTGAGGCCCAGAAGTGAAGAGATGTGCCCAAGGGCATACAGGCAGAAAGCATGGGAAGCAGGATTGGAACCCAGGTCCTGTGGATGCCAGGGCCGCAGTGCATAGTCTAGAGGCCGATGAGAGAGAATGGGAGCCCTCCCATGTCAGAACTCTGAGCTACCTTCCTTGGCACACTGCCTGCCCTGGGGGGACAGCGGCTCTTCCCAGACCCGGGATAACCACAGTCTGTTCAGTCAGTCTGATGTGCACTGACCCACACTGCCTGGGAACACAGAGGTCTGCGCATGCCCCCCACCCCGGCAGGAGGGGCCCTCTTCATGCCTGACTGATCCTGTTCGAAAGTCAGTCCAGAAGCTTTCCTCGCACCCCACACCCCAACTTGTTTCATGTTTCCTCTGTGTTCTGTGAGCCTCTGACCAGTCTGCACATCATTAGGACTCCAAGCTGACACGCACAGAAAGAGCCAAATTTGATACTCTGAACAAAATAAAATGTTCCTATTTCAAAGGGTCCCCCAAGAAAGGCTGGTTAGCATGATGTAGACCTGGGAAAATTAGAACAACATGGTCTGAGAGGTTACTCCATCTTCAGCTCAAGTCACAGCTCCATCTGATAATGAACCCAAGTGTAAACACTCACTGCCTCCCGTCCCGGCTGAGGCCCTGAGGTTTTAAACAACACGAAACGTTAGCATCGAAGCAGGTCGACAAGTCCCACCTTCCAGGTACATTCTGACGCCCATGTATGATCCATCTCCCACATCCTCTGGCATCTGGCATTGGAGACAACGAGCTCGTGGGCCAAAGAGAGACCCTGCCATGCCCCTGCCACGCCCCTGAGAAGGACTCCAGGACAGGGAGGGGGAGAGAGTGGTCTGCACCAGGTCCTATCGCCTCAGCAGGCCGATGGAAACACGTATTCTGGCTGAGTCTGGCTATCTGACCATTCAAACCTACTCTTGGTCACATGGGAAAAGGAAAGAATTCCACACTGAGCTCAGGAAGGAGTTGGCCACAGAAGCCCCAGAGCAAGAGGGGAAGCCCCCTCAGAGCTCCTGCTGACCACCCAAGAATGCTGGGGTTATGACAGTGAAGGCATCCCAGGACCACTTGAAGCCATGGCCTTGCACACTAACCTTTCCAGGCTTCCTCTGACCATGTCTCAGGCCAGGGAAGTTAACCAGAGAGTAAACTGTTGGTCTGTAAGCCCGGCGATGGGCACAGGATGGGGTGGGCCAGCTTGGGCTGTGCTCAGTCAGAGGAAGTGGGCCATTGCTGCTTTTTCATGAGTGAAATGTCTTAGAAACAGATTCTCTGGGCAGCCAGGTGGCGCAGTGGCTAGAGCACCGGCCCTGAAGTCAGGAGGACTGAGTTCAAATGCGGCCTCAGACTCATGATACTCACTAGCTATGTGTGTGACCCTGGGCAAGTCACTTAACCCCAAATGCCTCACCAAAAACAAATCAAAAGAGACAGATCTTAGTAAACAAACAGAAACGTGACCTGCATTCCTCAGGTGGGGGTGGCAGGGGAGGGGAGGAGCGGGGCAAGGAAGGCTTCCCCAGACACAGTCACCACCCGGAGCTGTGCTCACCCTACCCATGACTTCGCCATCCACCCCCCTTCCCCCAGTGCAGCCTGGGCTGGGGCTGGTCTGGTGGGCAGAGCCCTGAGATGCTCTGAGACCCTGTTTCCTACCTGGCAGTGGAAGACGTACTCAGGGGTGGTCTTCTTGAATTTCATGTTCCAGACCAAGGCCACTCCGTCAGGCTCGTGGGGCGCATCCTCATTGCTGTTGTAAGATGCCACCATCAGCTCTGGGTACTGGATGGGAGAGACCACACCCAAACAATCAGCCATGGAGGCCCAGAATCCTCCGACATCCGGTCAGACACAGGGAGGAGCCGTTCCTCTGAGCCCCAGTTCTAGCCACAGGCAGCAGGCGTCTGGGGGCCATGGACTACACTCATTGAGCCTCTGGGCTGAAAGCAGGACTCGCTCCAAAAGAAGAGGCCAGCTGCGTCCCACCCCCCATAACCCTTCAAAAGTCCACTGGTCTGGGCACAAGCGGCCATCCACAGAAAAATATGCCCTAGGGCATCTCCTCACCTGGCAGAGAGGAGAATAAAGGCAATGATCCGGTTAAGGACCTGGCCGCAGCCCAGCAGTTACTCTCTACCTATCAGCATACTCCCATCTCTCCCCATCGCCTCCAGGATCACACACAAACGAGCCCTTTATTACCTGGCCCCTTTCTACCTCTCCTGTCTGACAAGCTGCCCCCACTCTCCCGCCCCACAGACCCTGCGATCCAGGGACCATGACTTCCTTCCTGTTCCTTACCCACAGCACTTCTCTCCGCTTTGGGAATTTGTCCTGGCTTCTCCCTATGCCTGGCTCTACAAATGTCAGTCAGGCAATGCACATCTATTAAGCACCTAGTGTGTGCCAGGCTCTGTGCTACATGTAAAAATAGTCCCCGCTGTCTAATGGGAGGAGACAACAAGCAAATCAGGCCCACAGAAGCTATGGAAAGGAGAATTTGGAAATCATCAACAGAGGAAAAGCACTGGAATGCAGACAGACTGGGAAAGGCTCCCTGCAGGAGGTGGGACTCCAAGAAGCCAGGAGGTGCAGAGGGAGAGCACTCCAGGCAGGGGGCACAGCCAGTACGAATCCCTGGAGCTGGGAGATGGAGGGGCTTGTTCATACAGTAGCCAGGAGGCCAGTGCCGCTGAATTGGAGGGTACATGTCGGGGAACAAGGCTGGAAAGGTAAGACAAGGCTAGATTACAAAGGGTGAATGCCAAATAAAGGATTCTGTATCTGATCCCGAGGGCGCTAGGGAGCCACAGCAGATTCTTTAGTGGGGGAGATGATGGCTATTACTGCACGAGTAAGGATCTGTGAGGTCGTGTGTGTAGGCATGAGGTCTCCCTACCAAGATCAATCATAGCCTGTCTGTATGGCATAGTAGGTAAGTCCTAGGGCAGACTCAAACCCAGTACCTGTGGCCCCAGAGGTGCCGGTGCTCAGCCTGCCGACACACCACATGTCTCCTAACAGAGCCAGGCCAGTCCTTAGACCTCAGAAGGCTCATTGTGGAGCCCAGGGCCCCAGCTCTGCTGGCAGTCTCTGCCACAGCTGGCTGAGGCATCAAAAGCAAGCTGCAGGACGGGGGAAAATTCTGTTGTGGGTGTCATGGATGGTTGAGGACCTGGAGGTCTGGTCCCACTGAAACCCCCAGCCAGAGAGAGGCAGACGCAGTTTACATAGCGGCGGCAGAACGAGAACGAGGCGTCCCCCAGCTCCAGAGGGCCCAGGCTGAGACCCCCGGCCTTCCCACTGGGGTTGCCTTGCTTCCTTTCCAAAATTCTCCCCCGAAGTTGGGTTGAAAACCTTTGCTTTAAGCAACAACTCCCAGCAAAACAAAAGACACCCCGAGCCTCCAGAGGCCCGGAAGAGCTGAACTCACTTCCCTCTGGGAAAGGTCTGAGGGGAGTTCAGGGACCTGGTCTAACCCCAGACTCAGAGACGTCTGGTGGTTCTACAAATGCAAAGGAAGCACCCCCGAGCACCCAAGCCCCGTGCTGGATCCCAGAGACAAAGGCAGTGAGCAAAGTCTTCAGGGGGCTTCGCATTCTGCTGGGGAAAGACACAGGTGCATACAGGTCAGCACACACGAGGACAAGTGGTAGGTCAGGCAGGCAGCTGCCTGGGGCGCACCATTCATAGGCAAATGAGGCACACTTCTCAATATGACTTTTTATGTGTGCCCATTAAAATATTCCAGAAAAGTAGGCTCTCTGCAGCATGTGGAGATTTACTAGGAATGATGACTATGGAACCATGAAAGCCCCAAGGTCTCTGGGGGCACTGACCTCAGTCCAGGTATAGGGCACAGAACTGCCTCACCAGAGCTAGCTGAGCCTTACCAAAGTGTGGCCTTGGAGCTGGGGGACCCACAGACACTGCTCTTCAGCACCAACCCAGTCAGGCCCTCCCCAGCAACTAGCCTTACCTGGAGAGACCAGTCCATACAGGTGACCACCCGGTGCTTTGACCAATGTTCATCATAGAACTGGCGATTAAAGGAAAGGTTTGCCCCAGCTTGGACATCCCTGTGGTGGAGAAGATCAGGAGGGTCACCACTGAGCTGCTGCTCAGCTTGGCACTGCCAGCCCCACTGTAAACCATGTGGCACCCTTGGCATAGTATACCCAGCGCCACATACCAGGGATGGCACCATACGCCCAGCACCATATATTTGGCACAGCATTACGTGCCTGGACAGAAGAACCCGACCCTGTGGATGTCCAGGCAGCAATGGCCAGCAGGCAAAATGGTCAGCCAATGCAAATTAGCCAAGAACCAAGCCTGAGCCTCTGCCCCAGGCCTTTAGAGGAGATGCTAAGGAGCAGCTGCTCCCGAGGAGGTGGGAGCAGACCTGGTGTTCCAGGGGGCAAAGGTCTCTTAGGCCACTTTCTCCCTTAACAGCTAGAGAAACTGAGGCTCTGAGAGGTTCAGAGACTTGCCCCCCGGGCGTGGCAGAGAAGACAGAGCCCTCCAAACTCCACGGTCCCCACCCCTGGAGGCCTCTGAGGAGCCACACTGGCTGTTCTCTTTGGGATATCACCTCAAGACGACTTTTTAGGGTAAGTCATATCTTGGCTCTGGCTCTGCACTGCCTTTGCCTCTCCCTAGCAGGTGCTTCCCGCCAGCTCATTAGTTATTATTGGTAGTCTGCACCTGGGGGGCCTCAATGAAAGGAAAACCCAGTGTGCAAATGCTCTCCCCAGCTGCAGATGAGCCACCCACGTCCACCTTCATGTCTTGGAGAGTCGTGTGGGCCCTGAGGTTTTCAGGGGCTTGCCTGTAACTATCCAGCTAGTCCAAGCCGGTTGGGGCAAGGCCCACCCTGTCTTTCTCAGCTTTGTCCCAGGCACCACAAAGATCAGGAATAGCCCCATCAGTGCCTTTGGGGGAGCCCCGCGAGGAAGACAGACACACAGCCAGTGTGGCTCCCCAGAGGCCTCTAGGGGTGGGGACCGTGGAGTTTGGAGGGCTCTGTCTTCTCTGCCACACCCGGGGGGCAAGTCTCTGAACCTCTCAGAGCCTCAGTTTCTCTAGCTGTTAAGGGAGAAAGTGGCCTAAGAGACCTTTGCCCCCTGGAACACCAGGTCTTTGCTCCCACCTCCTCGGGAGCAGCTGCTCCTTAGCATCTCCTCTAAAGGCCTGAGGCAGAGGCTCAGGCTTGAGCTCAAAAGCATTCCCCAGCAGCCCGGGCGGCCCTACATCTGACCGTCCTGCGGTGGCTGCCCTGTGCTCTGGGAGCTCTGGGAAACCAGCCCCAGGCAGCTTCCACTGACCCGTCCTTCTCCTCCAGCTCCCGGCCGCTGTAGTCGAAGAAGATGTCGGAGTCCTCGGCCAAGGCGCGCTCGATGACCCGGATGGTCCGGTCAAAGAAGATGAGGAACTCCTCCGAGTGGAGGATCTGCTGCTTTTCTTCCTCCGTCAGCTCCCTGGGAGGGGCTGGGAAGCACAGAAGGGACAGAGAGAGGGGTGAGAGAGAGGTCCACACGCCAGATGCCGGCCAAGGCAGAGTGCATGGGCTGGGGACGCTGCGGGGAGCCGGCTCCGCAGGGGCTCGGGCTTCTGACCACTTCCCACCTGCCCACTGACCAAAGCTCTCAGTGTGAGGACTCTGAAGAGAAAAAGTCTGTAGGGCTTAATGGGGCTTAAGGAGAGAAGAAATGCTTTTAAAATGTGGGTAACGGGGGCAACCAAGGGGCACCATAGTGCACAGAGCCCAGGCCTGAAGTCAGGAGGACATCTTCCTGAGTTCAAATCTACCACAGACACTTCCTAGCTGGGTAACCCTAGGCAACCCTATTTGCCTCAGTTTCCTCATCTGTAAAATGAGCTGGAGAAGGAAATGGCCAGCCACTCCAGTCTCTTTGCCAGGAAAACCCCAGATGGGGTCACGGAGAGTCAGACACAACAACAGTGAATAATCCTCTAACTTTGAAATGGCAGAGCAAAGTGTGGCCTTCACGTCTTTCCCCAACAAGAGGAAGGCATCTTATCATCCTCATGTTGCAATCATAAAAGGGGCCATGGATGATGCAGTCACAGAGCTCACTGGTCTGGGAAACTCTCTGCTCATGAGCTTCACGAGGCATCAGAAAAAGATACCCCCAAAGGTGGCGGCCACCATCGTGGACGGATTTCTGCCCCAAACCCACATGGAAGAGGGACTGCCCAGCGATGGCAAGGCCCCCCAGATGCTGCCGTTTGCACGTGACATTGGGCTGAGGCACCACCAGGGAACCCCCAGTCTCACAGCTCTCCAGGTCATTTCTCCTAGGCCCAGGAAGGACGTGGGGAGGGCATGTCGAAGCACCCTGGGCCTGGGAGAGTGTAGACATGCCATGAGGAGAAGGTGCAGATGTGCTGGGCCCCACCCCAGGAGAGGGAGGCCCCCCTCGAAGGCATCCAAAGACTCAAAGGCTCAGGCTTTTGAGGCCACAAGAGAGACCGATCCCAAGAAGCCCCCGGGAAGCACTCCTCTTCCTCTTCCTCTCTCTTTATTTCACAGGCTTCCACGGCCAGGTGGGTTGACCCCCATGCTCCAGTGCCTCTTCACTCCTGGAGGCACTTTCGATTTCCTTTGGCACTGCACCCTTCCAAGGATGTCTGCTGGGTCGCTGAATGGGGACTTTCTTATCACACTTCAGAGTGCACGTGGTCAGACTGGCTGTCCACGCTTTGTGCTGACCACGGCCTGACAATTCCCCCCTCCTCACTTGGGTGGCGATTCCTCGTCTGGTCGAGCCACACTGGAGCAGCACGGATCCACTTCCCCTCACATTGCCCAGGATCTGGAAGCCACAAGGCCCGGGCCTTAGATCTCTCCTTTCTGAGGTGGGGCGGGGTGCCTCCGAGCTTCCCTCAGCATAAGCCAGTTTAGGGAGCAGAGGGGAGAGGGGGGAGGAGACGTCTCCTGGAAGGCACTTGAGTCAGCAAGGCCTTCTGAAGCGCCTGCTCTGTGCCCGTCACTATGCTAAGTGCTGGGGAGACAAAGAGAGGCAGAATTGGCAGTGCTCTAAGAGATCCCTCAGTCTTATGGGGGAGACCACGCGTTAGGGCCCTCTGGAGACCACCTCAGAGGGAAGGTGCCGGCATGGAGGGGGCGGGAAGTGGCTGCCAGCAGGAGCAGAATGTTGGTAGAGGCCCGAGGATGGTGAGATCCACAGGGAGAGCGTTCCCAGCATTGACGGCCAGGGACAGGGCCCAGGGTTCAAGAGACGGAATGCTTGGTCAAGGGTTGTCACTGGGTCACAGACTACGTGGGAGGCAGTGGCTGAGAACGAGGCTTTAAAAGCTGACAGAAGTTTTCACGGGTGATGCTGGGGGCCAGAGGGAGCCTCTGGAGTTTACTGAGGAGGGGCTGCCGAGGCTGGACCTGGCTTCAGGGAGATCAAGCTAGGGGGTGAAAGGAGGATGGGTGAGGCAAGCAGACTGCCCAGCAGTCCGGGGCCCCACCAGGCAGGGGCAGGCTCAGAGGAGAGGTGCTGTGGACTCGGTGCCACCCAGGCGATGGGGGTGAGCGAGCCAGGAGCCAAGGACGGAGCTGCCTGGTCCTCTGGGAGATGCTCATCCTCCTGCTCACCCGTGGCGATGGAGCACTGGGGACAGGGAAGCCAGGACGCCCTCAGGATCGTTCCGGGGAGCAGGGCTGACTTCGCACCCCATTGTCCCCTGGCTCCCACGTCCCCACCCACCTGCCCCAACTCTCCAGGTAATCTCCAGCCACACCTGGAAGACTTCCCTGCCATGGAGCAAGCCCTTGACAGGATGCCTTCAGGACCAAAGATGACAGCTAGGTGGTGCTGTGGTCTGATCACTGGAACTGGACTTGGGCAGACCCAAGCTCATCCGGCCTCAGATACTTTGTAGCTTGCCTGACCCACATCGGGTGACTTGAGCTCAGAGCCTCAGTTTTCCTGTCTGTGAAAGGGGGCCAATAACAGTATTTATTTTACCTCCCTGGGCTGTTGTGGGGCTCTAGTGAGATGATACGTGTAAAGTACTTTGCACACCTGCCAGTGTTTAGTTGTGTCCTACTCTTCACAGCCCCATCTGGGACTTTCTTGGCGGCTATACTGGGGTGGTTTTCCTTCTTCCCCTCATTTTACAGATGAGGAAACTGAGGCCAAGAGCAAGAAGGGACTTGGCCAGGGTCACACAAGCTAGCAAATGTCTGAAGCTGGATTTGAACTCAGGTCTTCCTGACACTAGGCCCACTGCACCACCTAAGAGGAGGAGAAGACGAGGAAGAACACAGTTTGGTAGAGCTGGGCTTGGAATCCTGGCCTTCTTTTCCAGACCTAGCTCTCTTTTCCACAGCGTCTGTCTGCAGGGCCTCCAGACTGTTCTGGGCCTGCACCCTCAGTGTCTGGGAACACTCAGGAGCTTCTGCATCACAGGAGGAGGAGGAAGGATTCTCTGGTGGGCCTGGAGCTGGCGGCAAGATTCCCCTGCCCAACTCTGGAGTTGGGGGTGGGGATAGGGACTCAGTTTCTTTATTCCATGGAGATGCTGGTAGGTGGCAGAGGCGGCTGGGTGCTGCCAAAAACTCTGCCTCTGCCTTCAGGCACTCTAGGCAGACACACACGTGGTGACCATGCATCTACGGGGCACGGCAGCCACACAGACTGAGCAGAGCTGGAGGAGGTGGTCAGGTGGAGGGGACTCTGTCGCCTTCTGGGGCTGTTCCACCCCCAGCTCTGGGCCTGGCTGCTGCCCAGGATCCACCAAAATGTGGACCCTGCTCACAGGAGGCAGACCAGAGCCCAACAGTCTTTTTGCACTGTCCTTCTCTTGGAGAGCTGTGTTTATCAGGGACCCTTCCCTGTAGGCCCATTACCTTGAATCAAAAGGAGGTTCTGGGTAATTTTCTGTAATTTTGCTCCTGCCTGGCCGCTTACTGTCACTTTGATCTTAGCTTTCTCCCTCCAAGAGAAATAGGAATCGCTGATCAAAGTCAGGGCACAGAGGCCAAGTTCATCTCAGGAAGGCAGGAGCCTCTTCAGAGCCTGAGCTGAAGATGCAATGCTTGACTCAGAATTAGGCTGTGATTGCAAGAGAAACAAAGGCCGCCTTTCTGCTGATGCTTTGATGTCCGAAGGGATCCAGGGGTCTGAGTGGGCCACTCTGCTCTCTCCAGATGGTCTGGCTTTTTAAAGTCAGGACCAACAATCAGTTTGGAGATGCTCTCTCTCTCTTCTCTCTCTCTCTCTCTCTCTCTCTCTCTCTCTCTCTCTCTCTCTCTCTCTCTCTCTCTCTGTCTCTCTCCTCTCTCTCTCCCTCTCTCCTCTCTCTCCCTCTCTCCTCTCTCCTCTCTCTCTCTCTGTCTCTCTGTCTCCCTCCCTCTCCTCTCTCTTCTCTCTCTCTCTCTCTCTCTCTCTCTCTCTCTCTCTCTCTGTCTCCTCTCTCTCTCCCTCTCTCTCCCTCTCTCCCCTCTCTCTGTCTCTCTCCCTCTCTCCCCTCTCTCTGTCTCTCTCCCTCTCTCTCCTCTCTCTTTCTCTCTCTGTCTCTCTCTGTCTCTCTCCCTCTCTCTCCTCTCTCTTTCTGTCTGTCTGTCTGTCTGTCTGTCTCTCTCTCTCTCTCTTAAATACACAAGTGATGTCATGACATAAGGGAGATATCTAGGGCCCACCACCACCGCTCCCCAGCTTTGGGATGGATAGCACACAAGGCCAAGGTAGCAAAGTAGAGAGCCTTAGTGACTCACTGAGGGCTGGCACTGCCCTGAGCCCAGGTGTGCTGAGCCAGTCCTCACCAGCCTCTGCAGAGGTCTTTTGTTGCACTCTGGAGCCCCAGCCTGCCATGTGCCCCAGCCCCACCTCCCCCCATCCACCCTGGGCACTTTCTTGTTTTCACTTATTCTGCAATTGCTTCTGTGGACCAGTTTGGATGGCAGAGAGGAGGCACTTCTTGCACCTGATTCTTGTCCCTAGTGGAGTCAGCCACCATTTTCATTGGCAGCCCTCAAGGGCAGCACTGCTGAGCCCACTAACCATTAGCCCTTCTCTCTGGCCCTAAAGCGAGCTTTGTTTGAAAAGGGTCCTTCGTGAAAAGCCCAGACGGAGTGGATGGCTCCCACGTGGCAGGACGGCAGCTCCAATTTTCAAATGAATAGACTTTCAGCCTCCCAGCTCCACTTGGCCAGCACAAGCTGGACCAGAGCAATCTCACTGCTCCTTTGGGTTCCTGGCCAGAACCCTCCAGCCTGGGTCTGAAGGGTGAGAACAACATAGACTTGGGGCCAACACAGACAGAAACTCAATTGTGTGCCCAGCTCAGCGTGTTTTGTGAAAGCTGGGACTCTCCTCTCTGATTCTGGTCTGGGAGGGTCACTGAAGCTGCCAGAGAGAAAGTGAGACAGAGAGAGAGAGAGACACAGAGATAGAGGGAGGAAGAGACAGAGAGAGAAACAGAGAGACAAAAGGAGGGACAGATAGAGACTGAGACAGAGGGAGAGAGATAGAGAGAGACACAGAGACAGAAGAGAGAAACAGAAAGAGAAGAGACAGAGAGTGAGAGACAGAGATAAAGAGAGAGACAAATAGGGAGAGACAAAGAAGGAGATAGAGATAGGAGAGAGATAAAAAGGAGAGGGGGGAAAGAGAGAGACAGAGAGAGACAGAGACAGAAACAAGAGGAGAGAAAGATAAAGAGGAGGGGGGAGAGACAGAGAAACAGAGATAGAGACAGAGAGACAGAGACAGAGAGGAGAGAAAGATAAAGAGGAGAGGAAGAGAGAGACACAGAAAGACAGGAGAGAGAAGCAGAAAGAGAAGAGACAAAGAGAGATAAACAAAAAGAGAGACAAATAGGGAGAGACAAAGAGGGAGAGAGAGATAGGAGAGAGACAGAGAGATAGCAACAGAGACAGACAGACAGACAGAGACAGAGAGATGGGACCTCAGCACCCAGGGTTCCTCCCATAAAAATGTTGAAATGTCCAGTGGCTTCCCCAGGGACAAGGGGCATTGGGCTGGCTCTTAAAGCCTGGTTTTAGGAAGGAAAAAAAAAAAAGCAAGGACTGGTCTTTAGGAAGGTATTGATTCAGAAATAGACCTTTCTTTTGACTGTATAAAGTTTGATCTCAAATTGCTGAAAAAGACTCCATCACTATTCAAACCTCAGAAAGAAACAATGCCAGGTGCCTTTAGGGGGCATTCCTTCCTCGTGCCCCAACCCCAGGCCACCCTCAGGGCTCTCTCCTGGAGCCGGGCAGAGGAGCTCCAGGCTGGGAACAAAACAGGCTTTCCTTCGGAGGTTGGAGGCAGCCCCAGGAAGCCCCCGACAATTCCTGATATTTTTACCCTGGTTCTAACGTACCTGCCCTTTTCTTTCCCAAGAAAACCTAACTAGGTTGAAAACGTGTGAGCTCCCAGAAGGGCCAGCCTCCTCAGTGCTGGGGACTGTTATCAGGAGCCCCAAGGCCCCGGGCCAGCAAACATGGCAATGTCCTTCCTTCCCTCTTTTTTCCTTCTTCACTCAAGTCCAAAAAAGGCCAGAGCGATTCTTAACAATACGTTCCCTGGTCTGCCCGACGTCAAGTTTCAGCCCAAAGCAAGCTTTTATGGCTGAGTAATAGAGGCCGTCACAGCAGGCTGGCCCGGGAGGGAGCTCCCACCGACCGCACGGCCGCCGTGGCGCCATGGCTCCCGCCGCTGCCCTGGATGCTGGAAGGCCCAGCCGCACGCCAACATAAACAGGCTTTTAACCCATTATGTGCTGTCTGCACAAAAGCCATTAGTGGAGGGGGAGGTGCAGGGGGCCCTAATCAGTTCCATGAACCCCGAGGAGCCGGGCCTGGGCTGACAGCGGTCTCTCTCTGCCCAGAACCACAGCCGGGGAGACGGTGGATATACCAGGGCACCTCAGCCCCATATGTTGTCCTCCCCTCCTCCACCTTGCACTGCCTTGGCTCGATGGAGGTCAAGGCACCTGGCGATTGTATCCAGATGTGCCCGCCGGGACTCAGTGCCTTACTGTCCCTTCCACTCATGCCCCTGCTACAGACACCTGAGCTCAAGGCTCCTGCTTCTACCTTGCTGGCGTACAGCAGTGGCACAGAGTCTTGAGCCTTCTGAGGCTGTCCCGCCCATGACCCCTCTGGCCCTTGTGGGCAGTGCTGCCACTAGGATGGACGCCCTCCCTAAGGGGACACTTGTAGTGACCCCAACATGCTCAGCAGAATGGGCTGAGAGGTCAGGATCTGCCAGGCAGGTTGTCTGGGGGAGGGGGGAGATAGGATTCATATTCCCCTTTCATTGATATGGAAACTGGGTCATAGGGAGGTAAAATGGCACAGCCACACCGTCTATAGCAGGACCTCCCTCTACAACACTGCCTCTGTCACGGTGGGAGGACAACAACCTTGGCCTGGATGGGGAGAGCCTGGTCCTGACTTCTGATCACAGGCCTGCGGGAAGGCTTCAGAACAGTTTGGAGGTGAGGTCTCCCACCTAGTCCTCTTGTGACTTGGGTGCACAGTACCAGGTGTGGCAGCCACCCCTTCTGGGGACAGGGATATTCATGAGTCAAAAGTGCGGTCAGTTCTTTGGCCTGTTCCAGCCTCCTCCTCCTTCTCTTGTTCTTCCTCTTCTCCTCCTCCTTCCTCCTTCCTCTTTCCCTTCCTCCTTCTCTTTCTCCTCTTCCTTTCTCCTCTTCCTCCTCTTCTCTTCCTCCTTCTTCCTCCTCTTCCTCCTCCTCTTCCTTCCTCCTCTTCTTCCTCCTCCCTTCCTCCTTCTCTTTCTCCTCTTTCCTCCTCTTCCTCCTCCTTCCTCCTCCTCCTCCTCCTCCTCCTCTCTTCCTCCTTCTCTTTCTCCTCACAGCCAGGCACTGGAGGAATTGTCTAGCCACACCACTGAAACTCTCTGCCCACACCTCCAAACACCATGGTTATGCAGTGTCCTGATGAGAGCCAGCCCAGACCCCACTTCCCATGATCCCAGCTGAAGCTGTAGGAATATAGAACCCCACAATCCCAAGTCAGCACCATCCAGGGCAGTGTGAAGGGACTTGGTTTAACCAGCCACACTGGGAGGACTAAGTGGATGAGAGGTGCAGACTGAGACCCACCCCCTCCCAGCCCAGACAGGTACTGCATGTGCGCAGTGAGCTGAGCCCAGAACTGAGGAAGAATGAGGGAGAGATGAGCCTGTAGCCCACCCAGAAGGTCCTTCATGGGATCTCAGGCTCCTGGCTGCTACAGGAGCCCATCCCTTTACCTCAAAAGTCCTTTGGTGATGAGACACAGCTGCGCCCATGGGACGCCTCAGCCGCTGGAGAATTAAAAGGACAACCTGAAGGGCGATGGGAAGATGCCCCTGGGGGGGTCAGTGGGCTATGGCATGAGGAGGGAGCAGGTGAGAAGGGGCAAAGTGGGCACAGGGCAGGCAGGGGACTCCCACAAAGGACAACCTCGCACTCTGGTGCCAGGAGCTACTCAAGAGCATCTGGTGGAGCCCACACAGGAAGCGGGCAGCTTCACATGATGAAGACTGCTTGGGGGGGGGGTGGAGACTGCCAGCAGCAGAAGTGCAGGGAAAGCCCAGAGATATGCTCAAGGACCAGGATTTCTAGACAATCAGAGATGCCCTCCAGCTGGCACAGCATCTGCTTCTGTGACGGCCGGGGCCTGAATGGTGCCCGCTGAGTGCTGCCCTTGGGGTGGCCACATACCACCCTACTGGGCCTCTCCCGACCCCTTCCAACCGATGCCTGGCAAAGAAGGGCACTGTACCTTCCTTCACCTCCTGCTTCTCATCTGGACACTCTAGGTCTGAGTCGTGCCGAACCTTGGCCTCCACCATTTCCTCGTCTTCCTCATCCTCTGGAAAAACAAAGAGAGAGGGGGAGAATGGCAGAGGGCTCTCCTTTTAGCAGCCAAGTCTCTGGTCTTTGCAGGGGGCCTCACCATAGAGGGGCTTCTCTGGAAATTGGCCTTAAGGAAACCCTACTTGAAAGTCTCCCAAAAAACCCTGGAGCCAGGCACCTGCTGCCCCTCTCCAGGGAAACATCCCTTTTTGATGTTTGGGATTGTCTGTGACCCTTGAAGCGTCTTCCTGGCCAGCCCAGGAAGGAGCCCAGAGCCGGAAGGTTTCCAGCTGGGGCTCATTCTGCCTGTGGGACACCTGCTAGCCAGACACCTCATTCCCAATTCATTTCTCACCAAAGTAATGTATTGTTTGACCTACAGAGCAGGGTTCAGCTGGGGTCTGACTCCAGGTCATCTACCACGGCAAGTAAACAATTTGGGCAGAGCACCAGGTGGGCTCTGGGTGCCCCGAAGAAAGTCAGGACCCCCCAGGGCCTCTGCTTTTCCTGAGCTGTGCCCGCAGATGGCTCCTCTGGCCGAGGGCAAATGTGGCCCACTCTTCTCCACTTACGTCACTTAACCGCTGCTGCCTCAATTTCCTCAACTGGGATAATAATGGGGATAATACCTGCCTCTTTGACTTGTGAGGCTCAAATGAGAGCATATTAGTACAGTACCCGGCACACAGTAGGTGCTTAATAAATGTTCTCTTCTTCCTTTCTCTGGCAGCAGAGGGGCACACAGCCATTCACAAAAATAAAAAGCAAAGACAGCATCCCAGAACCCTGGTCTGGTCTGGGAGCTCCCCCAGTAAGGGTAGGGGATTGAACCTGTGTAAGACAGCCTGGCATTGGACCTCAGGTACATCCCTTCCCCTTCCTGGCCTGTCTCCCTCTCTGTAAAACAAAGTGGTTAGAATACATGTCTGCAAAGTCCCTTGCAGTGCTCCAAGCTGCCTGGCTTTCTAAGCTCCTAATTTACCAGCTGAGTCCAGGTGGGACATGGCTCAGAGATGAGGGTCCATCTTCTGGTCATAGCAGCAAGGACAAAGAAAGCCTGGCTTTTGTCTGTTACAACCTGTGATGAGTTTCCTGGGTTGGGGGTGGGGTGTGCGGGTCTGAGGCTCAGTGCTGGTGCCAGAGCTCTCTGCCATGGGGGCGCCTTGCCCAGAGGGTGGTGGAGGCTGGGAGAGCCAGACCCTGGAAGTGTCTGGCCACCCCCACCGACAATCAGGAAGGCAAGCCCGGGTCCTCCCATATCTGCCGACAAGAGCTGGGCTTGGAAGGACTTTTCTCGGGATTTTCAGTAAGTACTTTGTTAAATATACTAGGTGTTAATATTTTTAAAAGCCAAAACAAAACAACTCTTCTCCTCCACACTGGAGGCCAGGCCAGGGGAGGAAATAGCCGTTTGTTACCTCGGGGCTCCCTTTCCACACCCTGGGCCCAGGAGGGCTTCCCCAGACTGGGGGCACTCAGAGTTGCTGGACTGCGTTCCCAGGGGACACCTCCGGATGTTAGTGAGAAAACGACGGCGTCATTGAGAGGGGCCGAGGGGCCAAGCTGCGCCCCCCCCCACCTCCCTGGGCTTTCCATCTCTGATGCCTAGTACTTCTTCAGGTTCTCATTGGGACCTCACCCCAAGCCTGGGAGATGGGACAAGAGTGCTCCGATCCCCTCGGACAGGCAGTGGGGACGCGGTCTGGTGAGCCCGGCTGTCCAAAGGGCTCCCTCGCGGCTCTGCCTCAGCACCGTCGGGGACTCCACCCGCTGCTCCTCACAGGGACCCGTCACGGGCTTCCTCCCTCACCCTGGCCCTCGGTCCTCCTCTCAGGTGGCCGAAGCTGCCAGCAGGCTGTGGAAAGGGGGCCAGGAACCCAGAAGACCTAGGTCCACCTTCAGGCCCTGCAGCGACCAGCGACCAGCGGTGAGACCGCGGCCTGTGACACAGAGCTCCGGTCCTTCCTGTCCACTTGTGGGCACCTCACAGAATCGTGAGCCCAGTCCCTAGTCTCTTTACTCTAGACACAGTCGTTACAGAGCTCCCAATCGGTTTGTCTACCAAATATTCAGCCCATAATCCACTGTGACCACGGGAAGGTGCCAATGCCCAAGGCCTGGGAACACCCAGTGAGCGCCAGAGGGTGAAGGCCACCCATGAGGCACACAGCGCGGGCCACATCAGACGATGTTGCCAGGCCACCCTCTCCCATAGGAAATAAGGGGAGGGCTCTTTCCTGGCCCCTGGGCTCTGGGCACAGGCAGGGCAGAACCTTGCCCAGGAGAGAGGGGTTCCCGAGAGCTCTCCCCAAGGCCTCCACTTGTGGCTTCCCCACTTCAGTGCCTTTCACGGCCACTTTCTGAGACCTTGAGGGCGCGTTGACCACCGCGGCTGTCTGACCCAAGTGGCCGATGGTGGCGTCTGGGCCTCCACACAGTGGCTGGAAAGCCAGGGCAGGCTGTGAAGGGTCTTTCGAATCCAGTTTGTGGAGCGAGATTCGGTGATTGGCAGCTGGCGGAGGCTCCTCTGATGTCTATCAGTTAGGACGACAAGCCGGCCTGATATCCGACACCGGCAGGGAAAATTGTTTTTAACAGGGCAATGTCTGATCTGCTATTCTGAAATGAGGAACTAACTATAAACAGGTGGTGAAAATTCGGGCAGGAGCTGGGGAGGAGAAGGGGGAGGCCAGCTGCTGGCGGATGGGGCAGGATTCGAGGAAGGGAAGAGGCGGTGGCCCCTGGGCCTCACAGTCGGAGCCCCCTCCTCCTCTCAGGGGCCAGCCAAGAGGTGAGCACTGGCCCGGGGCAGGGGCGGGGTACTCCATTCTGGATTTTCTACTCCCCAGGGCCACCACCCTGCTTCCCTTTACAGCCTCCACCCGCTGGCCAAATGGGCCAGCTCAGCACCCAATGTTCCATCTCCCCTCCAGGCCTTTGCACTGGCTGTGTCTCCTGCCTGCCTCACTTCTGCTTCTCTGAATCCTTGTCTTCCTCTCCCCAAATGATCTTATTTACTGATCTATGAACATGTTGCTTCCCTCCCTCAATCCTGGGAGGCCATAAGCTCTCAAGGGCAGGGCAAGCTTCATCTTTGGGCATCACCAGTGCTGAGCCCAGAGCTAGGGACTCTTCATAGAAACTTACGGAAACATCCTAGACCACCCCCCCACTTCCCCCCCCCCCGGCTTCTGGCGCATAGGAGCTGTGTGATCATGGTGAGGCACAGACACTCTCCCGGCCTGATGGGGATCAAAGGGCCCCCTCAGGGCCGTCAGAGGCTTCCCCCTACCCAGGAGCTGCTGGCACCAGGAGACCCCGAGCCGGGTCCAGGACCTGCCTTTGGGGCTGACCCTTCCTGCCACCATGGACTTGGGCCTCTTCCTCCAGGGGTCTTGGTTTCCTAGTCTGTACCATGACCTACTGGCCTTGGAGGTCCCTGCCAGCTCTAGGCCTGTGGTCCTATGAGGTGCCAGCCTGGCCATGGGCACTGTGGGAGGGGCTCCTGCCCTGAAGACCTAGAGGAGAATGCCCAACTACAGGGCAAACCTTCCTGGGGAGGGGACACCTTCATACTCATTCATCAGGATATGTATCACTTCTGCTTCCACCTGGTTGGGAGGCCTCCCTGGCACCCACTAGATGCCACCAGTTGCCCAGCCCAGCAGGTGACCTCCTTCCCTCCTCGCCATGGGGGTCACTGAGCCTGGTCACTTCAAGGTCAGCAAGAAAAGAGGGCCAGAGGCTCTGTCAACCAGGGAGGGATGGAGGATGGGGCAACTCCCTGGGGAGCTGGGCCCTAATGCAGTCCAGCTGCCTCCTCCTCGAGTCCCCCAGCTTCTGCTGCCACCACTAGCTGCAGGCCAGAGACGCCTGTCATTACTGCCTGTCATGGCTGCCATTAGCGAGAAGAGATGGGGCCAAGGGGATGGAAAGAATAGCCCTAGAACCCTGGGAGCACTGTGTCACAAGTCATGGACGCATTAGCAGCTCTGGGCAGAGACTCCAGCATGAAGGAGGGGCACAGAGCAGAGAAACAGGAGGGGGAGACAGAGACGCACAAACGGTCAGAAACAGGAGGAAGGGAGAGAGACAGAGACACAAAGTCCTAGAGTCTTGGACCTAGACAGACAGAGTGAAAGAGAGCCAGGATGGAAGGAGGGAGAGAGATGGAGATGGGGAGATGGGGGGGGTAAGAGAGACAGAAAAGCCAGGCTTCTCCAACATTCTCAGAGCCAGGGGCCCAACTTCAGGGCCCCCTCCCCACCCCACTTTGCCATGCTGCCCGTGATGCTAGGCACTGGGGTCTGAGATTTGAGGTACCAGGGCCCTGGGACACAGAGGGAGGGTCCTGGCCTGGACAAGCGGCAGCCAGTGGTGATGAAAACCTGCAGGACTTCCCCAGGACCTCTAACCCTAATTCCAAGATGACCCCAGAGCCAAGCTGCCATGATGGCTGCCTGCCTCCTGCAGCCCAGAAGCTTCAATCAAAGAGAGCAGTTTTCCTCTTCTAAGGCCCCTAGGCCAGGATGGAGAAGGCCATGACCCAAGTGGGTTCCCAACTAGGAAAGCCCCCACGCCCACCCAGGTCCTGGGTTGCTCAGCCTTGTCTCAGCCTTAAGCCCCAGATTTGGGGTGGACAGAGGCAGGGTCAGGCCTGGTTAGGCAGAGACCCAAGGTCAGTCTGGAGTGTGAGGGGAGCAGAGGCAGGGGAGAGGGCAGGAGCTAGGTCCAGGTGCAGTTAAGCAGGCGGGACCCATCGCTGCTACCTAGAGTCCAGTGACAAGCAGCCACATTATAAGCAGCCAGGTGAGCTGAGAAGCTGAAGGCAGGTGAGCAGGAAGTCTAGCCCTGAGCCTGACTGCAGGCTTCCCCCTTTCCTGGATGCCAGACTCTGTTTCTTCTCTTCCTGCCTCCCTGCCAAGGCTTCTTCCTGCCATCACATCCCTCCCCCAGGGCACCAGGCCTGCTTTGGGCCGTCTCCCCTTTCTCTACCCTATCTCTCCCGGCATCCCC